CCCCCTGCTTGGCTGAAAAAGTGTATGTGGAAGAGAGCCCTTCGGAACAGGGGGAGACACACACTCTGACATTGGTTTTCAGTTAGCTCAATTCCCAGGAGAAAAGGAGCGGCGTAACGGCAAGGTGAAAAGGTCAGCGAGAACAGTATGGTTTAACCTTGTTTTCAATTGCACTCGAAAACGATCGGACACTCAGCGCGGCTGCAAGTCTGCTGCAAGTCTGCGGTGGGAAAAGGTTTTGGGGTCTATCATGCAAGGACCATGGAATCAAACAAGGAAAGATTGGAGTCACAACGTGATCAAAAGTTGTTTGTGCAGGTACAGGAATGTGCGTCCACATTCCCTTCCGGCTGAATCCCATAGCTTCGTTGGCATGGCTAGGGAAACAGCTGCCATGCCCCCTGCTTGAGAACGAAAACCAAAAAGGAAGGGGAGGACCCTTAGAGACACGGCTTGACACACACACACACACATGGCCGTTTTCGGCGCATATGTGTTCAGGTTCACACGATGTCTTTGATTTTCCGCAGAAAACGCTGGCACTCTGTGGCGTCGTGTCCCTTTAGGACATAGAGTCGCACTAGTTCGTCGGCCGCTGCAGCTGCTGTTGTTGGAGGGTAGCTGTATGTGTAAATGGCATGTAAGCGAGAGGCGAGTCCTGACACTCCAAGGCGCTGGCTTCCTAGATCCCGGATTTTCCAGGATTGGTTGGGTTGAATGTAGGTGACTGTGCGTTGGGGAAGGTCAATGTTGAATCCCAGGAGGTGGAAGTCCTCCAAGGTTTCCAGCTCGATGGGATTGCCGAAAAAGTTGTGGTGGATCAGGGTTTGTATGGCTGGATGGGAGAGGAAGTGTTCGTTGTGCACAGTGAAGCGGTTGTCCACATAGCGGTAGTATGAGAAGTGTAGTGCTGAGTGGTGTGTAGACGGTGCCAGGAGTGCTCAATCAGGGTGATGGCTACGTTGCATAGGGCGGGGCCAATCCCAGCCCCTTGGATTTGCTTGTAGGTGTTGTTACAAGCCCGGAAAATACATGTGTTGAGCGCGAAGGCGACAATAGTGGCCCAAAGCGCAAGCCGGAGTCGGAGCGACAGGGTGACGTCGTAGCATGCAAGTCTGCGGAGCTCACTAGCCCTTTACAAAGGTTCAAAAGTTCGAAGAAAGCGGGTACACCAGGTTGATCAGACCTGGCTCCCACTATCACGCATAGCTTCGTTGGCATGCGTTTG